TGCCGCCATGTGGGCTATGGGCGGCGGGCCGTAGAACTCGCCCACACCACGGCCGCTTCTTCCACCGGCGGCCGTGAGAGGGAGGCCGGCGCATGAGGACCCCAGGGGAGAGGGCGGAGCCCGCTAAGCCCTGCAAAACAGCCGCACCAAGGGGGAGTTCGCGGCAAGGATGGAGGCAGATCCGTCAAGGCTGGGGGAGGCCGGCAGCAGGTAAGGGCCTTTTTGGCTGCCACAACCCCCGCCCGCCCTCTCATTCCCCCCTGCCCTTCTTCCCTACACTACCTAGGGGCTTTCTGGGTGCTGGGGGGCCACGTAGGGGCCCCAAGGGGGCTGCACGGCGGATGGGCGCCCTATGTTCCTCATCCCCAGGTGGGCCCACAGGGGGGTGGCACAGAGGCTTGGTGGTTAGCATGTCTGCCTTGCAGTGAATGGGTTGTGGGTTTGATTCCCGACTATGACACCTCCTGCATGCTTTGCATGGTTTGCATGCTCTCCCTGTACATGCATTGATTTCTAAGAGTCCGGGTCCCGCCCAGGACAAAGCCCCAACCAGGCACCTCAGGGAGATGACCTGGAGGAGGAACAACCGGATCTCTCCCTCCATGACCAGCTGTATGCAGGTCTGAAAAAAAAAAAAAAAAAAAAAAAAAAAAAAAAAGGGAAGAGCGGCCACGCAGTCCATGCGTATTCTACTTTATGGTCCTCCATCAGAAGGGAATGGGAAGAGCCGGAAAAGGAGGCTCTTTCCCAAATACCTCAAGTGGAGATTCCCATTCAAGGAAGAAGATGCTGCACCGTGGGGACAGCATTCCGTGTGGCTCAGAGAGAAGCAACTTAGTCTATCACTGCAAAAAGGCCCAGGTTCAAACCCAGGCTCAGGCACAAAATCTACTCTTAACTTGCCCAAGGCCAGATGCTCCTCTTTCTAGAACAAGGCGCCTTGGCGGGAGAGATCCAGGAGTTGCTGCCGGTCTTAGGGGAAACTGTGGCTTTCACTGCAGACGCATCGATGGAAGCTATTTGATTTACAAGCAAAAGTCTACTGCGCTTGTAAATTCCGCCAGAAGAGCTATCTGGTTAGAATCTTGGCAGGGGGATCTTGCCTCTAAATACGACAAAAGGAGACTAGGCACAGGCTGGGGATCAAGGATTAGTCAAGGGGAATGGAAGACTTCCTCTTCAACCCCAACCAGGATAGATCCAGGAACCGGTCCAAGTGACCGGAGGAGCCAAGTGGGAGGAAGGCTGGGACACTTCCACATACAGTGGCTAAAAATCACTCGGAACACTTTATCTTAGATGCATTCCGAATGGCTACAGAATAGAGTTCTCAAGACCCCCCCCCCCCCCTCAAAGGTTCTTCGCAACACCCCTGCCAAGGGACAGGGGAAAAGCGGACATGTTAGTAGACCTCCTGGATGGGATGCTCGGGCAGAATGTAATTTGCCAGCTGGAGGAGGAAGAGAGGGGGAGTGGTTTTCTACTCCCATTTCTTCCTTAGAAGGAAGGCGTTGGGAACCTGCGGAATGATACTCAACCTGAAAAAGGGGAACGAGTTCGTGGGACAAAAAAAAAAAAAAAAAAAAAAAAAAAAAAAAAGTTTTGCAAGGAGACCATACACACAGTGAACAGAACTACTGCCACCAGGGCGTATTTATGGCTTAGATGGATTTGAAGGACACATATCTGCATGTCCCGATAAGGGAGGAATCAGAGAAGTTTCTCAGGGTTGCGCTGGAAGGCGCAGGGGCAACAATTCTATTTCAGTTCAACGGAGGCAGCATGCAGGGGCGTGCATCTGTAATCCCAGCTCCTTTGGTGGCAGAGACTCTCAGACTGTTTGAGTCCAGGAGTTCTGGTCTCTCCTGAGCCATAGTGGTTGGCGCGTCTGCCTTGCGGTGTATGGGTTGTGGGTTCGGTCCCCGACCGTGGCGCCCCCTGCATGGAGTTTGAGTGTTCGCCCGCGCTTGCAGGGGTTTCCTCTGGGTACTCCCGTTTTCATGCACTCCCCTCCGGTCTGTCATCGGCTCCAAGGATATTCACCAATGTCCGAGCAGAACCGCTACTTTTATTTGCAAATACAGAGAGGGGTGTGGAATCCCACGTACGGTGCACAAATTCCTTCCCAGAGTACTTGGGATGGCTAATCAATAGGGGGGGAATATCCCAGCTAATACCTCCCAGAAGGATCACGTATCTGAGGTATGCCCTGGATTCCAAGAATACCTGCTTATACCTAACGGGGGATGGCGACCTGCACGGATGGGCAGCACAGTGGCTAAATGGTTAGCACTTCCGCCTGACAGTACTCGGGTCGTTGGTTCAAATCCCAGCCACAGCACCACCTGCCTGGAGTTTGCATGTTCTCCCTGTGACTGCGTGGGTTTCCTCCCACACTCCGAAGACATGCTGGTAGGTTAATTGGCCCTAGTATGCCAGTGCTGCAATGAGGTTAGTGGGGCGCATGACAGCTGCCATACCCGGAGTGCAATGGGCACAGTTTCACTCCAGAATACTGCAGGACCATGTCCTCTCCCACTGGGATGGCAGCCAAGCAGCCTTAGATTCCAGGATCCGCCTCACACGCATGAGGAATTCGCTAAGGGGGGGGGGGGAGAACATCCACACCTTAGAGGCTGGGAGAAAATGGCTGCAGGTCAGCCCGGAAAGAATCACCACAGATGTGAGTATGTCTGAGTGGGGTGCTCACATGGAAGACCGCCTGGCCCAGGGCAGGTGGGACGCGGAAATCTCGGACAGATCATCAAACTACAAGGAATTGTTGGCTTTCCAGGGTACGAGAGGGGAAGGAAGTTCAGATCTTATCCGACAACGCAACGGTTGTCACGTACTTAAACAGATAGGGGGGGCACGAGAGCCCCGAGACTGATGGATCTGGCAGAAACCCTCCTGAGCTGGGCAGAGACAAACCTAGAGTCCATCATAGCAGCGCATCTGAAAGGATATCTCAAACAGTTGGCGGACCAAATGAGCCGGAGAGAGGTCACTCAGACAGAGTGGTGCCTCAGCCGTACAGCATTCAATCAAACCTGCGCCAGATGGGGCACTCCCTCCGCGGATCTCTTCACCAACAGCCAAAATACAAAACTGGGGAGGTACTGCAGCCTGCAGAAGGACCCCAGGAGTGCAGGGAGAGATGCATTAGCCCCGCATTGGGAGGGAGACCTTCTCTATGGGTTTCCTCCGTTCAGACTGTTGCCGGAAGTGATGCAGAAGATTCAGTCATCCCAAGCCAAAGTCATCCTGATTGTACCGTTTTGGCCCAAAGGGCCATGGTTTGCCCAGCTGAAGGAAGTAAGCTCAACGGACCCATGGATGATACGCCCTCACACGATTTACGGGGGGCAAGGGGAGGTGCTACACCCTCACCCAGGAGAACTCTCCCTAGCAGCGTGGCTTCTGAGTGGGACAGGCTAGCCAGGAAAGGCCTGTCAGAGAAAGTGGTCGCCACCATCTTAGACAGAAGGAAGAAATCGACAAACACCGTATATGATTAACTTGGAAGAAGTTCTCCGCCTGGAAAGATAGGAATGGGTCGCCGGGGGCTCCCATCTTACATACAGCATGGGAATTCCTCCAAGCCGGGGTAGATAAGAACCTGGCTGCAAATTCCCTTAAGGTGCAGGTAGCAGCACTATCAAACTTTCTGGAATTAGGATTGGCGGCAGACCCATTAGTAATCAGGTCCCTGAGAACTATCTCTAGGCGCCGAGTCCTGCCCACGCCGAAGCACCCTACATGGGACCTGGGCACAGTTCTGACGAGTTTTTTCAGCAAGAACCTTTTTGAGCCTTTGGAGGTGTGCTCCTTTAGACTTTTTGACTCCTAAAACCATCCTGCTTGTAGCAATTACGTCTGCCCGCAGAGTCGGCGAACTGCAAGATCTGTTGGTAATAGAACCATACTGCACTAGCCTGCGGGACAGAACCATCCTCCGCACGGATCCGGCGTTTCTACCTAAGGTTGCGTCACATTCTCATAAGTCGCAGGAAGAAATAATACCATCCCTGGAGGGAGACTACAGCAGAATTGATGATCCAAGGAAGGGGGACAGTGCCTCCAAAGGCACCATCACAAGATGGGTAGGAGAGGCCATTTCTGAAGGTTATAGAGCTGCGTCTGTCACCACCGGCCAGCCTAAAGGCGCATTCGACCAGGGCCACCGCAGCCACCTGGGCGGAAAAGGCGGGGGCCTCCCCTGGACAGATCTGCAATGCCGCAACATGGTCCAGTTTCGCCACCTTCGCTAGACACTCCAGATTTGACCTAATCGGCAGCAAGGACCAGGTGTTCGGCAGGAAGGTCCTACGAACAAAGGGCCCACCCTAGAGCATGTATTTCTATTCTACTCCTCTCAAGTGAGCTGTCCTAGAAGATGACTCGGGAAAACGCAGTTATTTACCTGTTAACTGTATTTCCAGGAATCTTCTAGGACAGCGTAACTCCCTCCCGATTGCTGTGTGATTATGTACTAGGGTTTCGTCATGCTTGAAATCGTCATTGTGTCTCTACTACCATTTTTATGCTTTCTCCTAGGCCTTCGGTCATATTCTTATACTGAGGGTCCCCTGGGAGAGAGGCTACTTATAGAGGAAAAAGGTGGAGCGGGTGTTTCCTGGGAGGAGCCTATCTCTCAAGTGAGCTGTCCTAGAAGATTCCTGGAAATACAGTTAACAGGTAAATAACTGCGTTTTTTGCGCTATAAAAAAAAAAGTGCAAAAAATTAAAAAAAAAAAAAAGTTTCTTTGTTTCTATTATAAAATTTTTCAAACAGGTATTTTTTCTCCTTCACTGATGTACGTTGATGAGGCAGCACTGATGGGCACTGATAGGCAGCACTAAAGGGCACTGATAGGTAGTACTAATGAGGTGGCATGGATAGGCGGCACTGATAGACAGCACTAATGAGGTGTCACGGATAGGCGGCACTAATATGCAGCACTGATAGGCGGCACTGATAGGTGACACTGATGATGGGTACTGATAGACGGCACTGACTGGCATCACTGCTGGGCACTGACTGGGCACTGACTGGCGGCACTGACTGGCACAAACCCTGGGCACTGACTGGTGGCACTGGTGGGCAGCACTGGTGGGCTGCACTGGTGGGCGGCACTGGTGGGCAGCACTGGTGGGTGGGCACAGTTGGGTGGGCACAGGAGGGTGGCACTGCTGGGCACAGGTAGGTGGCACTTCTGGGCACAGATGTGTGACACTGCAGAGTGGCACAGGTGGGTGGGCACAGGTGGGTGGCACTGCTGGGCACAGGTAGGTGGCACTTCTGGGCACAGATGTGTGACACTGCAGAGTGGCACAGGTGGGTGCACTGCTGGGCACAGGTGGGTGCACTGCTGGGCAGAGGTGGGTGATCTGCTGGGCAAAGGTGGGCGGAGCTAGTGGGCGCACTGCTGGGCACAGGTGGGCAGAACTTGCGGGTGGCACTGCTGGGCACCGATCATCAGGGCACTGATCATCAGTGCCCTGATGATCGGTGCCGATCCCCGCTCTGACAACTGCCGGTTCTCGGCAGTACTTTCCTCACGATCTGACAGCGTGAGGAAAGTGCAGCCGAGAACCGGCACTTGCATTTCCCTCTGATCAGCGTGTCATTGGACACCGCTGATCAAGTGGTAAAAGGCCGCTGTGATTGGCCTTTTACCACATCACGTGATCAGCTGTGTCCGTAGGACACAGCGATCACAGAGATCGCCGGGTGCGCGCCCCCTGGGGCGCGCAGGAGAGCGCGTTCTGGGAGGCCGTCATATGACGTCCACTCAGAACTGGCCGGCCGCAGTGCAGCCGTCATTCGGCTATCTGCGGTCGGCAACTAGTTAAGGGAAATTTTCCTAGTGAGACATGGACAGCAATTTTTTCTTTTATGGCTAGTACAGCCACGGATGAGAAACAGTTGAATTGCTATTGCAGGAGGTGGGTCATCTGTATTTTTCTTTTTTTTATGCTAGTAAGCTAAAGTCTGTATTTTTAAGGTGACTGATTTTGCCAGACAACAGAGTGGTTGTGGTGTGGACTGCTCTGCCTTTTTGAGGTGGTAATGGCAACATGAGCATTAGAATTTTCAAATGGTAAAATTAATGATATCTAAGAAGTTAAGAAAAACGTTAATCTTTGTGAATAGCAATACAACATTTCTGTTGTTACTGTTTACATGACTAAAGGACAGTTATGATGTTGATCTCATTACAATTTATTAGGCTAAGACAGAATGTTTTCCCCTTTTAGGCAAAAAATGACAACAGTTACTCTTGGGGTGGGGGGAGCTTACCATGTTAACAAAGTAGCATTGTAGTTACATAGTCTGGCTGAAAAAGGACAAAAGTCCATCCAGTCTAACCATAAAAAAAATGTTATAATCCTACACCCACAGTTAATCCAGAGGAAGGCAAAAAACCCAGCAAAGCATGATCCAATTTGCTCCTACAGGGGAAAAAATTCCTTCCTGATCCCCCGAGAGGCAAATGGATGTTCCCTGGATCAACTTTACCTATAAATTTTAGTATCCAGTTATATTCTGTGTATCTAAGAAAGAATTCAGGCCTTTTTTTGAAGCAATCCACTGAGCTGGCCAGAGCCAACTCTTGAGGGAATCTATTCCACATTTTCACAGCTCTCACTGTGAAGAAACCTTTCCATGTTTGGAGATTAAATTTCTTTTCCTCCAGACGTAAAGAGTGCCCCCTTGTCCTCTGTGATGACCTCAGGGTGAATAACTGTACACTGAGTTCACTATATGAACCACTGATGTATTTATACATGTTGATCATATGCCCCCTTAATCTCCTCTTCTCAAGAGAGAATAAATTCAGTTCCTCTAATCTTTCCTCATAGCTGATCTCCTCCATCTCTCTTATCAGTTTGGCTGCCCTTCTCTGTACTTTCTCCAATTCCCCAACGGTCCCCATTGTAATCATGCCCCTGCTTTTCAACCACCACCTGCACTGCTTGTCTATTGTAACCTTTAGTAACTGAAATTATTTATTTATTTCAGGTACTTATATAGCACTGTCAATTTACGCAGTGCTTTACACATATATATATTGTACATTCACATCAGTCCCTAACCCTCAAGGAGCATACAATCTAAGGTCCCTAACTCACATTCATACATACACATATTAGGGCAAATTTAGACAGGATCCAATTAACCTACCAGTATGTCTTTGGAGTGTGGGAGGAAACCAGAGCACCTGGAGGAAACCCACACAAGCACAGAGGGAATGTGCAAACTCCATTCAGGAGGGACCATGGTCAGGAATCGAACCCATGACCCATTTACTGCAAGGCAGACGTGCTAACCACTAAGCCACTGTGCCACTTCAAAATGTCATATTTGCCTGTGTGATACATGGCAAAGTCTGACAACTGCTATTCTAACAAGTTAATCTTGTAAAAAGTCCCTGTTTGGACAAATAAAGTGATTCTAGCTTCCAATATTCATGCAGTTTGAAAGAAATTTGCATTTCTGGAGTAGCAGATTACAAATAAAATTGACAGAGTGGAGAACCCAATGCATATTGGCCATTAAGAGTTGTTGCTTTATTTACATCTGTTCTATTCATATAATGATTCGTATTTGCTCTTGATTAACTCAAAGTTTTGTTGCCGAAATTAATTCCTGCTTATAGAAAATAATCATCATTATAAATGGGTCTTGAACATAACCTAGGCGCTTAGACAGAAATTTGGCACCTAATCATCTCTTCCTGAATAAAGCAGTCTATTAATTACTAGCAAGCCCTCTGCTAATAGACTTCCACCAAATGAGGTCACAGCAATGGCAGCCCTGCTTTTGAATAATACAGATTTAATCTAGAGACTAATAATGTTTTGAAGAATCAGGTTTTAAAGATCAGACGTGATGATAATTAATTCTTAATTTCATCCCTTCAAGGATTTGACCTAGGTAAAACATGGAAATCTCAGAAACATGAAAGGATAGATAATGACTTCTCTAAAGACTCAGAGGAAATGGAAAATATGAGGCCTAAGAGACGTGTGCCACCCTGTTTGACCTCCATGTGATGACTTGCAACCTTACAGCTTTCTCCACTGCCATGATGAATTATTACTTGTTTAGATATTGACACTGTGAAACAGTAGGGTTTGTTCAATCAAGATGTTAATTCTCTCTGTTTGCACATCCACTTCTCCTAATTAACAACACTACACCATCAAATAACATGTAATTTAAATAGACATTTTTATAAACTGTAAGCATTAAAGGGGTATTCCAAAAACCCACTGAGCATATATAATTATTTTTTAACCACTTCCAATCCGGCCCATGTATATAAATGGCTGGACAGGGGCAGTGCAGGAGCGGGTTGCCATTCACAAACGACGCCCGCCATTTTGAATTATGCTCGCTCACTGGGAGCACGCGGCATCACAATCCAGTGCCCGCTGTGTCTGGAGGACGTGATCACGTGAGGTCCCGATCATGTAATCACTGAATGGCCAATCAGTGATCACATGAATAGTAGTAAGCAAGATGTCACTTCTGACATCATTGCTTACTACGTTTGAAATCTGTGAATGATCACAGAGATTACATGGTACAAGGCTATTCACAACAGTCTTGAACCATGTGACAAGCTGTGACCAATCACAGCTCACACAGTATTTCTCAATGGCTGCAAGAATTTAGCCAGAGAGGAGAAATGATTGCTTTTACAGCCTTTATGGGTGTAAAAGCAATCAGTGTAAAAAAAAGAAATCTTCATCACCCCCCACAAGTAGTACAGTGTCACTATGGTGACAGTATGTTAAAAAAAAAACATAAATAAAAATATAAAAAAATAAAATAATGTAAAAAAAATGTTTTTGAAAAATTAGAATTTTTGATTATAAACTAATTTGGATTACTTTTTTATTAAAAAGATAACTTAATAAATTTTGGCCAAGATTTATGAAGAAAGATTATTTATTTGCAAAATTTTATAAGAAAAACACTTTTTTTCAACATTTTTGGACATATTCATTTAGATAGCAAAAAATTTAAAATCCCAGTGGTGAATAAATACCACCAAAATAAAGTTTTACCTGTCTCAAAAAAATGCTAAAAAAATCATATGGGTACAGTGTTGTATGACCGCGCAATTGTCATTCAAAGTGTGACAGAGCTGAAAGCTGAAAATTGGCCTGGACAGGAAGAGGGTGAAAGTGTCCGGACTTGAAGTGGTTAATGTAAGAGGGCTCAGAGCTTTCTATCATTTTCATGTCCTGATCATGGGTCTATTATGTATGCTCTTTTCCCTAACCCTTTCCAGCAAAGAAATTGGTGTATTAACAGTGTTGGATGGGTGCTAAGCAGCTGAGTGCTCTAAGCCAGTGTTTCTCAACCCTTTCTCAGTCAAGGCATCCTTCGAAAGTATATTCAGTCTCGAGGCACCCTAGACTATGACTAGGTTCATACTAATACGGGTGGTTGGGGGAGCAGAAATTGCAGCTGTTCCCGCACCCCCAACTACCCGCAGCTAAAACACACTGCTCTTTATAGACATGTGAGACTGCCATTTATTCATAATGGCACCCCCACACGTCTAAAAATGCAGTGCATTTGTAGATGTGGGAACTACTGGGAAATTGCATGGTGCAAAAGTACCATGCGACTTCCCGACCACTGTAATTTCATACAGGAATCTTTTGTCCTGCATGAAATGCAGGCATGGCAGCCCATTCAAGTGTTTAACCCCCTTTCCCCATCTACTGTCCCTTTTACCTGCAAAGGCAGCAGCCAAGGTTGTACACATGATGTATCCACAATGCTTTAAGGCTATAGCAGGAATTATACCCCCTGTTACATTCAGTGGGCATTACTGATGAAAAGATCCGAGCTGCAACTAATCCGCAACCGCATGCACTGCATGCTATTGGAACACAGTGGTGCTGCATTTAAGGGGTTAGGACTCATCTACACTGCTAAACTCACGTTTAGGAGCTGTTCAGCATTTTTTCAGCAGCCCCTGAACTCACCTTAATGTTTTCCTATGTGTCCATGTACACATCTTCGTTTACAGTCATTTACAGACAGTTGAGTTAAGTCATTTTTTTGAACGCAACAAACTTGCGTTCAGACGTCGATTTTATTAGAGTTTCAAACGCAAAACACTTGTAAATGCGGCTAAATGCGTCTAAATGAGGCAAATTGCGTTTATAAGCGTTTGCGTTTGAAAATATTTTTAACTCTTCTAGTTCCCGATGCTGTCCAGACCCTTTTTTCATCATGAAAAATGCATGCAAAGCATTTTCAAGGTGCTCAGATGGACAAAACATTGAACACAGGATGTTCCGACCAAGCTTGTCACACATTGTAAAGACCAATTCAAACCTCAGACCTCTCCCACCCTTGGAAGCAAAAGATATGTTAATGACCATTCACACCTCAAATTCTTCATGAAGACCCCCTGCCAGGTGACCTTAATGACTCACTCCACCAGACACCTTTCCCACCCTTGGAAACAAAAGACATGTTAATCAGCAACTCACGCCTAAGCTAATTTCAACATATACTGCTGTCTCTGCTTCTACTGTGTGTATTTCTCCTCACCACCTGTCAAATGTCTCTGAA